ATGGCTAATTTATAGTGATATATGAGTTTAAAAATATCATTTTGTACGGTTTATTATGAATTGAAAATGAATAATTATAATAAATAGTCATTATTTTATGGTAAAAAATTAGCAAAGCTTTATCTTCTCATTATAACTATCTAATTCCTGTCGTAATCTGTTCTTTTATGCATATAACTTAACAAAATATAATTTCGAGGTTTCACATCTGCCAGGCGTCCCTTTTTTAACTTTGTACATAGTTTGTTTGTACTTTGTCCGTGTATTTGTATTGTTTGTAAATATCTCAAGCAAACCTAAACGGCTCTTTTTAAAACCACCGAAGGTGTGCAATTGCATATGTCATACAATCTATCTAGCGATAGTATGCTTTCTGTGTGCTTTGTTAAACACGTCCTTGTCAGCACTGAATATGAAACTAAAGAGTGGAGACAGCTCAAGATTGGTGTATTTTTATTAAACTGCTAAAAGCAACAAAACCATATCTTGGGCTTGCCCTAGTTTGGAGCCCTAGCTTCGCCACTGTTCGAATATGACCCTTGAAGCCAAAAAAAATGTAGAAAATGTATATAAATAACCCCAACCAATAGTACCAAATATAAGCCAATAATACCAAATGTAAATTATACGTATTTATAAATAATATGTATTATCCATGGTTTTACTTGTAAAATTCATGTAAATTGCATAACATATTAATGAAATTTTGACACAGATAAATTATCTAAAAAGATACAAATAATAACCAACGTTTCATCGACGACAAAACGACGTTATATTACTCTTGAGATGTCCTTTATGAGTTCCCTGTGGACAGCAAACGATAGTAGGTAGAAGAATTGTGAAATCAGACCCAACTTCCCGCATAGCGGGCCGGTGTGTGAATTTACCCGTGCCTGTGCGCCTCGGCTAGAAGTTCAGAACAATGTTATATGAGACTGAGGGTATTCGATTTTTTATACTACTTTTATTTTCAGTTTTAGTTAAACATTATGGTTTTGTTTATAAAAATTAATAATTTTATTAAGTATTATAATAATCTATATTGAATAAACATATTCTATTCTATGTATTTTTTTATAGAATAAAGGTGCCAAACGAGCAAATAGTTCACCTATGTGGTGTGACTAAAAACATCCACATGTATCCTCGATAAAGAATCAAAACGCAGAATGCGTTGTCACCCCTGAGGACTAAGATGGAATGCTTCGTTTTCAGTAAAAGGGGTTTTCGGTTCTCTACTCTCACTATACGAAACACAGCAGTATTAAGCTGCTATTTCACGGTCGAGTCGACTCATTCGTTGATATGCAACAATATATGCAACAATATATTTAACAGTGGTAGAGCCACGCGGCAGCTTTGCTGTTGCACGTATGGGCCGGCTCAAACCGGGGTGGTACCACGACCTCACAGAATACCGGCGTGAAGTGGAAGCACTGCTTCCGCGTTTCGTCTGGTGAGTGCAGGTGGCCGGAGGCCCAAATCCCCTCCCCCCATCAACATGGTAGCGGAATTAAATAATGATCGACTACCCCAGGAGGGTACCAGCACCCCTGGAGAATCCCTCGCTGAGCATCCACGACCATGTTTCTCCACTTCTGAGCGTGGGTGCTCAGGCTGCCCCGCGTATTCTGGGGGGGGGCAAAATTCCGCTCAAGACTACAACTGCTCGGGGCAAACGGAGCAATAAGACCAAGGCGACCCCTGCCACGCTGTCCGTGAATTTCTGCAATATCAGGGGACTTCACTCTAACCTAAACGCCGTCTACTACCATCTCGAGACGGCGAGGCCGGCTCTGCTCTTTCTGACCGAGACGCAGGTGTCTTATCCGGCTGATGTCTCGTATCTCTCCTACCCGGGGGTACAAACTGGAACACTCCTTTGTGCCTCGGGCTGGAGTTTGCGTTTACGTCAGAGAGGACATCTGCTCTCGACGCCTCGGCAGACTTGAAGGTTCGGACCTGTCCATCCTTTGGCTACGCGTAGACAGCGACGACCATCCGCGCGTCTACGGGTGCCTCTATAGGTCCCATAGCGGTAATGCCGAAACAGACCGACTATTTGACCACGTCCAAATGGCTGCAGATTCGTTGCTACAGCAGATCCCCTCCGCAGAGATCGTGATCCTCGGCGACTTTAACGCCCATCACGCCGAATGGCTTGGTTCACGTTTAACCGATCATGCGGGGAGATCTGTTCATGATTTTGCCTTGGCATATGGTCTGACACAATTGGTTACTTCGCCTACGCGGATTCCAGATGTGGAGGATCATGCACCTTCCCTGTTGGACCTTCTGCTGACCTCTCACCCGGACGGATATCAGATATCCGTCGACGCCCCCTTTAGGCTCCTCGGACCATTGTCTTGTCCGGAGTGTGGTGCCACTCACGCTGAAATCGCGGTTGCATTCTGCAGGCTGCCGCCGTGTTTGGCACTATAGGTCAGCCGATTGGGATGGGATGCGGTCTTTCTTTGCATCCTACCCTTGGGGGCGGGTTTGCTTCTCGCCGGATGATCCCAACGTTGTTGCGGATTCTGTCGCTGATGTGGTACTTCAGGGTATGGAACTTTTTATTCCTTCTTCTGTGGTGCCCATAGGAGGCAAGTCTCAGCCATGGTTTGGTCGCTCCTGTAAAATAGCATCATGCTATAAGCAGGAATGTTACCAAGCCTGGGCTGATGCATCAGCGTCCCGGGATGTAAACACCAGCGCTCTAAAAAAGAAGTATAATTCCGCCTCTAGGTCCTTCAAAAGAGTCATTGCCAGGGCAAAGTCAGAGCACATAGGCAGAATTGGCGAGAAACTAGTTCGCCTTCCTTCTGGAACCCGTGCATTCTGGTCTCTCGCCAAGGCTGTCCAGGGGAATTTCTGTCAGCCATCTCTTCCATCTCTGCACAGGGAGGACGACTCACTGGCCCATACCGCAAAGGAGAAAGCCGATCTTCTAGGCTCTTTCTTTGCGTCTAACTCGACTCTCGATGACGGGGGGAGTACTCCGCCGACCATCCCGCGGTGTGAGTGCTCCATGCCGGAAGTGCACTTCACACAGCGCTCAGTTCGCAAAGCACTCCTCTCCCTGGACATCCACAAGTCTAGTGGGCCTGACGGAATCCCCCCAATTGTGCTGAGGACGTGTGCTCCAGAGTTGGCACCGGTTTTAACGCGTCTTTTCCGGTACTCCTACTCCCTAGGCGTAGTCCCAAATCATGGAAAACGGCTTACGTCCACCCGATCCCTAAAAAAGGCGACCGCTCTGACCCGTCCAACTACCGGCCAATCGCCATCACCTCCTTGTTCTCCAAAACAATGGAGTCCATTGTAAACTGCCAGCTCATGAGGTACCTTGAAGATCACCAGCTGATTAGTGACCGCCAATACGGTTTTCGCCGTGGTCGGTCAGCTGGTGATCTTCTGGTCTACCTAACTCACAGATGGGCGGAGGCAGTAGAGTTCAAGGGGGGAGGCATTGGCCGTTAGTTTGGACATTGCGAAGGCCTTCGATCGGGTTTGGCACAAAGCGCTTCTTTCGAAGCTCCCTTCCTATGGGCTTTCCGAGAAATTGTGCGATTGGATCACCAGCTTTCTTGCAGATCGGAGCATCAAGGTCGTTGTAGACGGTGCAAGCTCCGATTGCATGCCTATTAATGCTGGTGTTCCACAGGGCTGCGTGCTATCGCCAACGCTGTTTCTTCTGCATATCAATGACATGTTGCATACCCGTAACATTCATTGCTATGCAGATGACAGCACTGGTGATGCTCTTTACACCGGCCGAGCCAATATTTCTCGGGAAAACGTCTCCGAGTGCCGGGACAAACTTGTGTCTGAAGTCGAGTCTCTGCTGGACAGAGTCTCGGATTGGGGGCGACTAAATCTAGTCCAGTTTAATCCCCAGAAGACACAAGTTTGCGCGTTAACCGCTAAAAAGAACCCCTTTGTCGTATCCCCTCAGTTTCAAGGCACTCCCCTTGTTGCCTCAGCCAGTATCGGAATCCTCGGCGTCGACATATCGAGTGACGTGCAGTTTCGTGGTCACTTGGAAGGGAAGGCCAAATTGGCCTCTAAAAAGCTTGGCATGCTCAGCAGAGCGGGACAGTATTTCATGCCGGCACACCGCCAGCAACTTTATAAGGCGCAGGTTCGGCCGCACATGGAATACTGTTCCCATCTCTGGGCTGGGGCTCCCCAGTACCTGCTTCTTCCACTTGACCGCATCCAGCGCAGAGCGGCTCGAATCGTCGACGACCGAGTGCTTTCCGATCGGCTCGATTCACTGGCGCTGCGAAGAGATGTTGCATCTCTTTGCGTATTTTATCGCATCTATCACGGGGAGTACTCCGAGGAATTGTTCGTACTAATACCAGCCATAAAATTTCACCATCGCACATCGCGACAAAACTCACGATATCATCCATACGATCTGGATGACTGACGATCCACCACCGTGCGATTTAAAAGAAGTTTTCTTCCTCGCACAACTTTTTTATGGAATCGACTACCATCAGAGATTTTTCCGGACCGATACGACCTGGGGACCTTCAAGAAAAGAGCTTACTCCTTTCTAAAGGGCCGGCAACGCACCCGCAATTCTCCTGGTGTTGCGGTTGATCATGGGCGGCGGTAGTCACTTAACATCAGGTGAGCCGCATGCTCGTTTGCCCCTTCTTCTATAAAAAAAAAATATTGTATATACTGGATGACCTTTTTTACTGTCTGGAAAAAATAGGGTGTAACATGTGAACGGAGTAGAAGCCTATGGCACGGGCATTTTACGAAAATTAAAACAAAAAGTTTATATTCAAAGTTACAAAATGTTTTGAACAATTATTTTGTCTTTTTCCCTTGAGCAGGCTCAGACCCTGCGAAGTGACAAGGTCAAAGATGCCTACAAAATGTATTGTTTTATTGCCATTCGTATAAAGTAGGGTGGATATGATTTGATTTTCGATAAATTTTAATTAATTTATTTAATTCAAAATTTTTGTTTGTATTTTTTGCTCCATGTGTACGTGTGTACGTACCTAGAAGTTCTGCTGGCGCTTGCGCTTGAGGTGTATGGCGTCGAGGATGGGGCGGCGCTTGGTCTCGTAGCGCGCGCGCAGCTGCTCGATGTCCGCCTCCATGTGTACGTGTGTACGTACCTGCGGCTAGAAGTTCTGCTGGCGCTTGCGCTTGAGGTGTATGGCGTCGAGGATGGAGCGGCGCTTGGTCTCGTAGCGCGCGCGCAGCTGCTCGATGTCCGCCTCCATGTGTACGTGTGTACGTACCTGCGGCTAGAAGTTCTGCTGGCGCTTGCGCTTGAGGTGTATGGCGTCGAGGATGGCGCGGCGCTTGGTCTCGTAGCGCGCGCGCAGCTGCTCGATGTCCGCCTCCATGTGTACGTGTGTACGTACCTGCGGCTAGAAGTTCTGCTGGCGCTTGCGCTTGAGGTGTATGGCGTCGAGGATGGAGCGGCGCTTGGTCTCGTAGCGCGCGCGCAGCTGCTCGATGTCCGCCTCCATGTGTACGTGTGTACGTACCTGCGGCTAGAAGTTCTGCTGGCGCTTGCGCTTGAGGTGTATGGCGTCGAGGATGGGGCGGCGCTTGGTCTCGTAGCGCGCGCGCAGCTGCTCGATGTCCGCCTCCATGTGTACGTGTGTACGTACCTGCGGCTAGAAGTTCTGCTGGCGCTTGCGCTTGAGGTGTATGGCGTCGAGGATGGGGCGGCGCTTGGTCTCGTAGCGCGCGCGCAGCTGCTCGATGTCCGCCTCCATCTCCGCGTCCAGCCGCGCCATGCGCGCCTCCAGCTCGCCCAGCGACAGGAACGCCAGCTGCCACAGCGCGCGAATGTACCCCGTGTCGTGTGCTACTAGCTCACAGTGCCTCCCGGAGCACAATGTACGCGATTGTACCCTACGTCTTCCGGGACACAATGCACGCGATTGTACCTCGCGTCTGCTCACACTGCCTCTCGGGTGACAGTGCACACGAATGTTCCCTCCGCCTCTACCCACAGCGCCTCTCGATGTACCCGCTACTATGCACAGTGCCTCTCGAAGTACAGTGCACGAGAAGCAGTCTCGAGGCACTGTGTAAGCAATTGTAACTCAAAGACTTCTTGTATACTACTAGACGGGCACAACGGTACGAATACATTACGCACTTAGTAACAGTCAATACTCCGTATATCTTAAGTCGACTGCGAACGAGCGAGAAGACTAGTACTTTGTTTTTACACCGCGAACGCTGCTTTTGACAATCTTACACAAATTTTGTTTAATGTGACTAAGAAAACGCTGTCATTAGTGTGCGTACTTAATCCACACTATTTGAAGTTTGTTTCAGATAAAGCTGAGAAAAAAATATCGGACACGTCCGTCAGCCGCAGCTTACAGACGCGGCTTAGCGGTGTGCACGGTAGTCGAGACGGCGTCTTTGGACGCCTCGCTTCGGTTATTCCATAAAGGTTTGTCATTCGAAAAACATGACAAGCAGCGACAGCGAGGCCGAATTTATAGTTAGCTACTTTATGTTGTCCCAAAAAAAAAAAAAAAAAAAAAATAGGTGAAAGAAAAAAAAAAAAAAAAAAAAAAAAAAAAATTTGAGACAATAAACCCAGGCGGCCGGCCCGAAACACCCCCCCCCACAAACATCCAGCCGGTTAGATTCTGTTCGGACGTGTGAACGCTCAAGAGCAACACAAGGTCATGTCCACGTCTTACGACTGATAGTTTGCACAGTGTAGTATTAAACGTACTGGTTAGATTTCAATAAGCCTCGTCTGTCAGCCGCAGCTGACGGACGCGTCCGATAGTTTTTTCTCAGCTTTAGTAGGTATATAACACGCAATACAACTGCGTGGCATATTTATCGTGCCAGCTACCAGTTTAGTTGACGCCCGCGCGATCCTCAGCTATGACACAGTTTTTGTTCCAAAATTCCGGTAGTAGTAAACATAGATCTTTGATGTACGCCACATCCGTTAACACTGTTGTCTCCCGAGCCACAGTGCACGCGATTGTACTTAGTCTCCAATCATAAAAAAAAAGAACTTATATCTAACAATGCCTTAGTGTATCCCAAAAACACAGTTTCATCAGAATATTCTAATATGCCTGATGTACCCAATACATTTAGTGTGTCGAATTTTTTTGAAGTCTAAATATTTGGTATATATCCACTGTATTAAGTGTTTTACGTCTACGGGGTGTATCAGTACATTTAAAATGTTATTTTCAATATGTCCAATTTACTGAATGTATTTAGAATATACACGTTAATGACCTTAAACTACGTTAAACATCAAAGGAATCTATAAAACCACACTAAATATTATGTGTAAGCTACATGCCATATTAAAATTAAAATATTCAACTCAGGGAAGCAGTGTGTAGTCTACATAGGTATTGGGCTCAATAGAACAAACTCCTGTTCTTTACAAAGGTATATGTAATAGTAAAGTTAATATGGTATATTTCTCACTGTTGTTACTAATTAATTCTGGACTCCTGTTAGGTTACAACAGTGACATCTTCCGGTTATACACTTAAAAGTATAGGCTATATAATACTGCCGTGAGTACAGTCACGAATAGAATGCCTTATAAGGGATTTTACCATAGTTGCCACACTTGGCGGGCAGGGTTGGCAACCGCAGTTTTTTTTCTAAATGTTATTTTAGGAAGACGCTGCTGCTCAATTCCTGGTTAGTTTCCTTCTGTCGCCTCTCAATACACCCAAGGGGACGTTATGGCGGGGGGGGGGGTTAATGAGTATTCATACATCGCTACTGCACGGTTAAATGCAATACAATACATATGTAGTTAGTACACATTTTAAATCATATATAGGTACATATTCGGCATATCGGATTACAGAGACCGCTTGATTACTGCGGATGGACTAAATTAAAAAAATAATATAACAGTTTCCATCTGTCTCACAGATGGGCATGAAACTTATTTCTGAAAGGGTTTCTGAATGGGTTTATGAACAAGTAAAAACCCAACGCGCTGTCACAACACGTGTTAAACGTTCTAGAAAAATCTTAAATATCTCAGACAAGATCAAAGTCAATTTTGCTCTCATACTATGAAATTTAAAAGCAAATACTAATTAATAATTCATAAATAAACCATGAACGTAAACCAACGAATTGTGATTTTGCACAACTGAGTAACTCACGCGTTAATCAACCGATTAAATGAAACATTATTATTATAACTATGTATAATAAATCGTATAGCCCAAATTCAACCCCGCAAGTCCGCAATAAAATATATTAGGATAATATTTGGATTTATAATATATACGAAAAAATCTTAAGAATAATATATGAATGGATAAATGGAAGTTAGATGTAGGAAAAAGAAGGTGTTTTTAATGATAGTGGTTAAATACATAAATATTATATTGTAGTGGTTATATTGTTTGGAATCATTATTGGATTAGTGCGATCAAAACAACGATTCAATAACTATTTGTTAGTTCACAACAACGCTAAAAAATTGAATTATGATACTTGTCACACAAGCAAGTATCAAATTAGTAAACTTGGTCAGTTTTCTGTTTTTTAAGTTAAAATAGTTTTATTATGGTAACATATTATACAAATGTTTATTGGAATATAAGAAACTATGACGTAATTTATTGGGATTTACACAAAAGATAATCTTAAATAAACGTTTTATTCATCAGATGGGAAAAAGATATACGAGAGAAATCATACGACGGGATTAATATTAAAAACTGTGTTGTATTTTTAGTGTTTAGGTTTTATCTACGAAAATTCAAAAGAATATTATTGCTATTAATAAGTTTTTGGTGTAGATATGAAATTGTGAGAAATGTGAATAAAAAAATATATACATATTATATTAGTCATGTAAGGCATTTAAACACAAATCTGAAAATTTCTGTGTGAAGCGTAGTTGGATTTGTGTGAGTGTATTTCTGTTGTGGGGTGATTACTGTTAAGAGATAAAGTATTAAATATTTTCCAACATAACATTGATGATACATCGTGATAGTGCTGTCTTTTCATCGAGTTTTAAAAGCATATTTTTTCTTCTATTAATTCAAACTTGTACTAAAAATATTTTAAGGTATTTTTATTGTATATTAATTAATTTATATCGATATGTAATCAAATTTTATTTCGATTGCAATTTATTCTTTCATCGATCACCCCCAGCGTGTAGCTGTAAGCTTGCATGGTGTATGTGCCTGCGTGTGCGTGTGCGTGTACGTGTGTGTGCGTGTACGTGCGTGTGCATGTACGTGCGTGTGCGTATACGTGTACGTGCGTGTGTGTGTGCGTGTGCATGTGCGTGCGGACTTACGGGGCGCGAGTGCGAGCGGCAGCAGCGCCACGACGTGCAGCTGACTTACGAATTCGAAGTTGCCCTCCTCCAGTAGCGCGCGCTGCAGTGCGCCCGCCTCAGCTCCCGCACCCCCCGCGCCCGCGCCGCCCCCGCCGATACCAGCGCCCACCGACACCGCCTCCGCCCTGGCGACAACCAACCACTCTTGCTACAACTGTTTTTATTTGGATTTTTTTTGCAATTCAATTGTACATAATTGGTCTTAAATTAAAAATGTGCTTATAACTTAGACTCAACTTTCAGACACTGTATATTTGGCGAAGACACTGCTTATACACATCGAATATAAAATATACTCAAAAGCTAGATAAATATAAAAATACATTGTAGCGTTATTTTTTGTTTTCTAAATACTGCTCCACTGAGTAGAAGTGGTTTTGTTTTAAATATTTACCGAGTTTGAAATTTGGTTAATTCTGATTTTTTTTTAAATTTCCTGTGGTAGTTTATTATATACTTTTATTGCCATATAGTAGAGACTTATATTTAAGTTTTTTGTTCGCGACTGTGGTAAGTATAATTTTTTTTTGTTTACATGTATTCATGCTATATGTTTCTTTAACCTTCTTGTAAATATTATTATTATTGTGGACAAACAGGCATAGATCATAAATGTACATTAAAGGTAAGGTAAGATTTTTAAGTTTTTTTGAAACATGGTCCATAGCTAGAGTGGCTGTTACACATCGATGTTACGACCCCACAACATAACTCCGTATTTAACGACTTACGAATTCAAATATATAAATAATGCTACACTATTATTGCAGTTTTGTAAATACTACTGCGTTTATTTGAAATTATTATATATTAAAATGTGATTTAGGACAACAACTGCGCGTACGCACGCTCCTCTGCATGCGATTCAATTCACAACGTTTTTGCCGATCGAGCCACCCTTACCCACTAGCACGTCCGTGGAGAGTATAGTAGCCAAACAAAATATGCCGTCGTCCGTACGGCATAGTATACTATCCAAAACGACACGTTGTAAATATTGCCATCTAGTTCAAAAATGCCGAAATAAATGAACGTTGTGCTTGACAAAAATGATTATCTATGAAATACTTCACTAGAAATAACAGAAGAGGGCAGTGTTTAGTGTTTGGGTGCATAGAATTAAAAATAACAACTTCAGTCGACTTGTCACGAAAGTGATTCGGAGCACCAGCGATTATGTCGTAAGTATTTCGTATTTTTTTAACTTAATTGTTAGATTATTGTACATCAAAATGAACTTTAGAATTTGTACTTTGTGATAATACTTAGGCGATATAGTCTCACGTACTAAATCGGCTCTAATTTGAACTTCAAAATATTGTTGTTACCAAAACAATGACGTCTTTGTAATTCACAGTCGCTAGTCGTCTTGTTTATGATTGATTTACGTGTTATTCAGTGAAGTAATAGTGATTAAATTTCTAATACGTACTCATACACTTTTTTAGTTAAAAATATATTAAAATGTCAAGGGATTCACAATTAATATCAACGTGTTCTTCAGATTTTTTTCGTATGGCTGGTGCGGTATCCAGGGACGTTACAACAACTTATAAATAAGGGTCTCTAGGAACGAGGAAGTGTGTTTTCAATATTTAATACTGTTTGATGTTATCACGTGTTTTATTTTTGTTGTAATATATTGATTGTATTGATTCATTTTCACACTTGTTTCGTGTTTCGAAAATCGTATTTGAATTTTAATGTTTTTGTATTTTTGGGTTATTTACCTTTTGTGATATTTTTTTGTTCTAATTATTTCAAAAGTCAACAATTTATTCCTTAGAACTAATGCAACACATTACGATGTTTTTGTTTCTCCTATAAAATTGACTTTGTTTAATACGATTTTTTCTTCGGGGACGTCGATTTAGCAAATAGTTTTTTAATTTTATCGTTTTAAGCCAAAATTATAAATCATTAAAATATTTTATCACTTATTCGTATTTCATTTCATTCAACCTTATCGTGTATAGAAATCCTTAGACGGACGGCCATCATTTTCAATTTGAACGACGCACGACGACTCGGCAAGTGTTGTGTTGGTAAAAATTATTACATTTTATGCTTAAGAAACAAATTTATGGAACGTTTTTTATTTTCCACTCGAGAATTGACATTAAACATTATTTTAAGTATAATAGATCATCACTATCGATTTTTCAAATAGATATGTTCAATCTATAAAGGTCTAGCTATTTTTCTATATTTTCATCTTTGCTGTAGCTTATATATTTTAGCTGTTACAAAGGTGTTTGTTACCGGGACAGATTCGCGCGGCTTGAGGCGGCGAGTAGTCGGACGTTTGACGCATATTTACCAGCGCGGGGCGGACGTTAGAGTGGTTACAAATGTGTGTGTGCGTATTAAAATAGTAGGCTTTAGAACAGTCGCGTTGCTAGGGCTCCAAACTAGGGCAGGCCCAAGATATGGTTTTATTGTTTTTAGCAGTTTTATAAAAATACACCAATCTTTATCTGTCTCCACTCTTCAGTTTCATATTCAGTGCTGTCAAGGATGTGTTTAGCAAAGCACACAGAAGGCATACTAGGCTGCACTAAAAGTATCGGGAATGGAATATTTCCACTGTTCCTGTCATATTAAAATCTTTTTAATTGAAAACTCCTTGGTTTTAAAAATCGAATAACATTCATTTATTTTAAAAAAGATTCTCGGTATTGTCACAAGGTTTTGTCTAACTTGTTTAGTCGTTGAGAAAATGGAATTGACTCGAGAAAATTCAAGAGCGATGATTTATTATGACTTTCGAAGTGGTTTAACGCAAAAACAGTGTGTTGACCGGATGATTTCTGCATTTGGTGATGAAGCCCCATTCAAAACCACAATTTATCGCTGGTTTGCTGAATTTCAACGTGGACGTGTCAAGCTCAGTGATAATCCCCGTCAAGGTCGTCCAAAAACTGCAGTCACCCAAGAAAACGTTGATGCTATGCGTAAGCTGATTGAGGAAGATCGACATGTGACATACCGCGAAATTCAGGCAATTTTAGACATTGGCATGAGTCAAATACAAATAATCTTGCATGAACAATTAGGTGTAAAAAAGTTGTTTTCCCGATGGATACCGCATTCGCTCTGTGAAGAGCAAAAAGCGGCTCGCGTTACTTGGTGCGTCAAAACTCTCGAAAGATTCCACGCAGGATCCTCAAATGTTGTATACAACATCGTATTAGGTGAAGAATTCTGGATATACGCGTAAAAACCCGAAACAAAAAACCAGTCACGAGTTTGGGTGTTCGAAAATGAGTTAAAGCCAACCAAAATTGTTCGTTCACTGAGTGTTGCAAAAAATGGTGGCCACGTTTGTCTCCAAAACCGGCCATGTTACGTCTATTCCTCTTGAGGGATAAAGAACGGTAAATGCAGAATGGTATGCTAGCATTTGTTTTCGACAGGTCGTTTCTGAAGTCCGTAAAGAGAACTGCAACCGCCGCATCATCCTCCATCCCGACAATGCGAGTTCTCACACCGCACACAGAACATAAGAGTTTTTAGAGCAAGAAAACGTAGAATTATTAGACCATCCGCCGTACAGCCCCGATCTAAGCCCTAATGATTTCTATACTTTCCCTAAAATAAAGAATAAATTGCGTGGACAGAGATTTTCATCACCTGAAGAAGCTGTGGACGCCTACAAAACGGCCATTTTGGAGACCCCAACTTCCGAATGGAATGGTTGCTTCAATGATTGGTTCCATCGTATGGAAAAATGTGTCAAATTTCGCGGAGAATACTTCGAAAAGCAATAAATACATTTTTAAATAGTAATGTTGTGTCACTTCCTTGATTCCCGAAATTTTCAGTGCCGCCCTCGTACTACCGCTAGATAGATTGTATTAGATATCAACAATTGCATACCTTCGGTGGCTTTGAAAAGAGCCGTTTGGATTTGCTTGAGCGAAAGAAAAAGATATTTACATACAATACAATACATGAACAAAAGAAAAGCATGAACAAAGTACAAACAAATTATGTACAAAATTTAAAAAAGGGACGCCTGGCAGACGTGAAACCTTGAAATTATATTTTGTTTAAGTTATATGCATAAAAGAACAGATTACGACAGGAATTAGATATAGTATAATGAAAAGATAAAGCTTTGCAAATTTTTTTACCATAAATAATGACTATTTATTGTATAATTATTCATTTTCAATTCATAATAAACCGTACAAAATGATATTTTAACTCATATGGTAATATAAATATTAAATTAGCCGATAGAGTGTTTGTGCCATCTAGCGTAATCTTTACGTGCCACCGTGAGAATCAAAAATTTTCGTTCGATAAAATGACTTCACCTATAGAATTTAAGTAGATGGCGCTATTAAAATTTTATATACTGAGGGACTAAAGGAAACACTCTTTAAAAACCTCACTACAGTTATTCTTTTGATTTATTACATTAAAATTTGGGCTTCACATTAAAAAGATTGTAACAATTATTTTCTATAAAATTAAACTTATACCTAGGTATCTAGGTATTTTATGGTGCCGTTCAATATTATTGCTGTCTTCGCCGATTAGCACTTTAACACACTTATATTCATCACAAATAACACTTTTATCCTCCCATTTTCACTAAAAATCTTTGAAAAAGCATGAATTTTCAACAGACACAAGAAAAACCAACACAAACATTGAAATATGAAGTGAACATGCAACCATATCGCCCGCACCCCCACTCGCTAACGCACTCCTAAACAACTTCAGGGCAAAGCCCAGCTTTTGGTTCCATAGTAATTGCTATATAAACATTTCGTAGTTATATTTCATGAGAGAACATTTTGCCACATGTTAGAAAGGGAGCGATCGTCTTCTCGAAAGCCCGGTAAAAAGCCAACGCGTGCGAGAGAGACGACAAAATCAACTCCTTACTTTCATTAATTAATTTTGACAGACCAGTGTATTTCGAATTGAAAGCAAACTGCCAAGTGTTGACGTTACATTTATGCTACGAAGTCATGAACTGTGTAGAACAGAGGAGCGCGCGGGAAATTTGAAATAGTTTGAAACAGTTTACGAGTAATTTTATTAGTTGATATTATTGATTGAGCAGATTGAGAAAAAAGGCAAGCCTGGCTCTTCGGCTTCTATGGAGGCT